CGGGAAGAACGATGTGAATATCCAGAAGGACCAGAAGCCATGTGACTAACGCTATGCGAGGTTAGAAGTTAGGAAGGGTAATAAAAAAACAATTGTCTTTCTCTTCATTACATCGGAAGGTCGCAGAGCGTGTTCGAGAATGTGATCGCTTGTAATGAACTATCGAAGTGATATCGACATTAACTTTAACATTCTGTAGAAATTTAATCGGAACTTCTATTCGACAAAAAGGAGAGATATAAATTGAATGTAGCTATCCGACGTTTTTTTTGTACTTTGTACAAGTCATCTCACGTGAGATGACTTGTAGGCGCTGATTTTCGGCGCCGGAAATAGGCGCTGATTAACCTGCTCTCTTTGTGTGCGTACCCAAACAAATGATTTTCGAACGGAGAAAAATGTACTTACCACGGAACTGATTATTTCCCGAATGTAATTTGGCACCGACGGCATATTCAACTATTTTCGAATAATTCAATGTTCAAAATTGCGGTATTTGATTAGTGATATGAAAAATTGAATTAAAATACGTTAAATATATAGTGACAGGTAATGTTGAATAATCGTGCTCGGTAATTGAGGTACCTGTAAATTGAGACCTTGTTGGGACGGTGAATAATTTTGACTGAAAAAAAATGAAGGATATGTCCTGATTCAAAAAAGTCTCCAAAAAATTAAAATTACTACTTGAATTTTCATTCCGTTCAAATGCAGCTGGAATTGAAATGAAAGAAAAGGGGCAGAAATGTTTGGAATGTAGAATGTACCCCACTGTTATCGATGTTAAAGTGAATTGAGTGACTCTATTAAACCACAGTGGCGACAATTGCCGTCTTATTTTTGATTGGTTCTATAAAATCCTATGTATTCATATTGAAAACGCCGCCATTTTGTGGCTTACCTCTTGCTAATTAAATTTGAATATATAGGATTTAATGGACATCTGTCATGAAAAATTGAAAACAAGATATTTAAATCCTATATTATTCAAATTTAAAATAAGCCAGAGGTAAGCCTAAAAATGGCGGCGGGACCTCTATTGTGTCGCCACTAATAAACCTTTACAAGAGGTTCGTTTGTTTGTGTCGTTCGAAACACCACTTCCTGCTTTCAGCTTTGCTTGCGCGTTCGTTTGTGTTAATGGGTACGTTCACCAGTACTCAGCAGCTATAACTTGCAGCATAGAGAAGTTGAGGACAGTTGAGATACAGCGGATGTAAATTTCCTGAACGCCCGACGCTTCAGCGCATGCCTAAAGCATAAATTGAGTTGGTAAGCCTAAACTAAACTTTTACCGCTTAGAGAAATCGGCAGCAGCTGACAAAAAGCGGCTTTTCATGAGCGCCGCTGGACGCGATTGTTTTCCCAACTACTCAACTGTTGGCAACAGTTGAGTGCTGGTGAACGTACCCAATGGCTGAACTGACGAGCGGTCATGCGCTAGTTGAATTGGCGAGCTAGAGGTCACAAACCTAAAATCATCCAAGATGGCGTGGCGGCCAAACATAGGCCAAATTTCAATTTGAAGTCGTGGGCTGTCTGCGGAATTTTACAGTTTTTGTGCTTCAAGGCCTATTTGTGAGGGGTAAGTCTGTTAAGTGCAATACAACAAGACAATAGGTCTGTTTCTGCAGAAATCACAAACTAGTCAGAGCGAATTTCATTGGTTGAAACTAGTTTTCTGACTGTTTTCAACCAATGAAATTCGCTCTGACTGGTTTGTGATTTCTGCAGAAACAGACCTATTATCATTGTAGAGCTAATATTTGCAAGAAATTGGTGCTCAGCCGCTCAGCCCAGTTAGGATTATCCGCATCCTCTAACTGACTTGGTTTTCCTTTTAAAAAAACATTTGATGATTTCAGACATAATGCAAAATAGCACTCACTGATTTTTTTCTTACCTGTGATAAAATGCTTACTACAAACTCTTTGGTTTGCTCTTTAGATTGTGAAAGATTGTCACGTTTGATTGCCGCTAACCACGCGATTCCTCTGTTTCCTGGTACTTCACTTAAATGGGGGAAATACATACAGCGTCGGACTGGGCCTAAGAGGCCCGGGTGGCATAACGATTTAAGGGGCCTGCTGCCTGCTGCTCGCCTAGGAGAGCATTTATGTCGACCAACAAACCAAATTATGATAATGATCAAGTAGGCAAGAATTTTTGGATGTTTTTATTGTCAAAGATATACATTTATGAAATCCAAAATTAGCCGGGCATGTAATATTGACAGTTGAGTTGAAGAGGGCGCTATTGTGTACTTGGAGCTCTTTAAATTTTGGCGCGTGAATAATCGCAATGTGTGGTTTCAAGAAAAGCTGACGCTGACACTTTTGGAAATATTCTTTAAGGGCCACTGAACGTTTTGGAAGATATTTTAACCTATTCACTATTCATTGTTCGTATGTAGTTATCTTTCCTTCTACTTATTAAAACAAGATTAAAACAATTTAAAACTATTGACATTTACCGCCAAAATTCAAAGCACTCCAAGTTCACTCGCGCCCTCTACAAAATTTTGGGGAACTAAACTGGATATTTGCTGCCATTGTGGGCCGGTTTCTCAATAGCGAGTCACCCCCAAGTTAAGCATAACTCTGGGGTAAACATAGCAACTCGACACGCTTACCCTGGAGTTAAAATTAACCCGCAGGTGACTCGCTTTTGAGAAACCGGCCCTGTAGGGATTATAATTTAATGGCTAACTTCACACTTGAAGCCTGACAGTTACGAGTAGAGGATGGAATTTTTGGCAAAAGAAGTTAAGGTTAGAACTAGAACGTTTAGAAAACGATTTTATAAGGGGATCTCGATTAAGGGCCAAATTACAGTATATTTGCATCTGCAAATTTGCAGTTCTGCAAATATGGCCGACTTGCATATGTGCTCTATTTGCAAATTAAACGAGCAAATTACAGAAAAAATTTGCAATTTCGTCATATTCATCGGAAAAAAGTGTTTGGGCGCTACTGATTTACCAGTTTTAAATGTCAAAGTTGTCAAAGTGATTGCAAGGACTTGCAATACTCACAGATACTTTCACCATGCGCAAATTTGCAGGCGACCTGCAAATGCTTTCTGCTTCTGTAATACGAAAAGTCAGACTTGCAGGTCCTGCATTTGTATCTTAAGTGTTGCAGAACTTCTTAAGTTTAGTGAAAAAACCGATTGCTAAATACTTGTTTATGAAATTATGTTGAAGGGGTTTTTATGTGAAAAATGAAGCCATAGTTAAAAAAAGTGAAATTTGATGAATCATTTATTAGTGACCTGGCACCTACACAATCAACATTTTATTTAAAGAGGAGATGTTTCAGCCAGACTGTCAATAACTCGTTCGTAAAAACTGCCATCCTCGTCATCCTTGATAAGATCCGATTCAGTCTTCAGGATAATCGACGAATCCAGCAGTTCTTGCCCTATAGTAGAGATCGAAGCCTCGTTTTGATGCGTTTTAGTGAGGAAAATCGTCTTTCGCAAGTTACTTGCGTCAACGATATTGTGAGGATTGTACAATACGCTACATATAAGTTGGAGTACGTACTTATGTGCATGTTGTATTGAGACAAAAGTTTACATGCAGATGGTCTTTTGCAGGCAAGCAGCTATTGCCGATCTCTTCTTGTTCTTCGTCCTCTTCCTCACTCTGAGAATCTGAATCATGCGTAATGGCGGCTAACTTGACTGGCTAGCCCTCGCTAGTTTGCGCCTGTTTGGCCAATCGAGTCAGTAGTCAGTGTTGCCAATTTGTACGATGATAATTGTGGGGACGTACGATAAAAGGCCACTGGTACAATATTAACTCTACATACATACATGTGCATGCGCGCATTGATTAGTGGAGTCAAGCAACCTGACTTATTTATAAAAACAAAAGCATTATCTGATAGGGGCCCGCACAAGCCAGGGCCCGGGTGGCAAATGCCGCCCTGACCCTATGGCCAGTCCGACCCTGAATACATATACTGAACTGGTGAAACTGGTCATGCTTGGGACCCCGTAGAGACACATTTTCCCTTTCTCGACGGCTTCCACATCCCCCACAATCAGACACTTATCGACTTATCCGACATTTTACAACAATAAACACATAATAAAAAACTATATAAAAAATATCTAGTTTCAGCCTGACTTATTAGGTTACATACCTAGTCAACAGATATTTTAATAAATAATCAAAATGAAACTTGCAAGCAAATACCGAAGCAAAATAACTGAAATAAGCATAAAAAACACATATTCAAAACAAACTTGCTTGGGCGCCACGCCATATTGAATTTTTATTTCACAGATGGATTGGATCAAGGATAATACACACTAGTAAGGATTGCTTATCGGCCTCGTTTTTGGTAATCGCGTCCATATTGGTGTATCACCATTGCCGACGTCATTAACTAAGTCGTGAGCTGTTTGCGCTAGCGGTCCTAGTTTGGAATTTAAATTTATGATGAAAAATATCATTCAATTTTGATCACCATAATAGGCAAAGAGGAAGATGCAACCGAGATCTAAAAAGGAGTTGTTTTAGAATGTTAATTAATGTAGTAAAACCAAGCACCATTTCTTCTTCCACATACTATTAGTTTTTCAACAAATTGTAAAAAAAAACGTCACAGACATCCCAATACAGGTTGAGTTTAGCTTTACACTCGGTCTTCGATTCGGTAAACTACGAGCGCGCTCGAAACGATAAGATCCTGTTCGGTTTAACTCTCAGAGTGTTCTCTTTTGGGTTCGGGCTACAATCGAGCACGTACCCTGAGTTCTCTCCCTATCAACTGCCACTTGTGGGAAATTGATACCTAAATATTGTCCAAAAATCTTATTCGGTTTCACATACGGACGCGTTCAGATTGGACGAATCGACGGGGACACTCGAAGTGAACCCCATTCGGGTAATGCTCTGCACCGGACATCGCCCGGTTTGTTCAACTGAACTCGCCCCGGAGTTGCGCTGGAATAGACAAGAAACAACAAAAGTGACATACCGCGGAAAACCGAAACCGACCATTTTGCCGATCTATTTTATTTTTCTATTGCGTTGCATTTGTCTTCGAGTGGCGTCTGGTGTGTACTCAATTTGAAACTTGGAACTTGGCTCTTGATCTGTCTTTTCTTTCGCACTGTTCCAGACTAGATTCAAATCGAGGCTTTTCCTTTTCCAACTTGGTACAGCAGCACAGCATAAAAAAGCAAATCCAAACCAAAAGCACAGCTTCCAAAAGCCTGATTTGGGAGCGGGATACTCTTGTTCGTGTTTGAAACAGTTCCAAGTGTATAATGGAATTGAAAGAAGTTGATTTTGGTTCTCATGGAGTAATTTATGTTGAAGAAGGTGAGTTAATTATCTACTTTGGGATTCAGGTACAAGAGAAGTGGATTTATGAACTAGTCAAAACGAAAAAAGGAGCACTTTTAAAAGCAACCTTATTTTTTGTTGATTATGGTAAATCTAGAAATTCAATTTTTCAGTTCTTTTGCTAATTATTTAGGTATTTACTCGGGTATTTATTTGTATAAAAATCACACATTTTTTACTTTGTTCCAAATGTTAATGTTTTGAGAATGCTGCAGTTTTCAGGCGATTAAAAAATAATTATAAAAACAAGTGGTCCCTATTTCATTTTGACTAGTAGTTATACATTTGAAAAGTCATAATCATAGTCACAGTTTAGGTAGTCTTATGGCAGGTTTATACAACATTTGCATAGTCATAATCATAATCATAGTCTTGATAATAATCACAATTTTAGAGGGCGTTTGTTTATAGTTTCTAATCATAGTCATAAAATTAACTCTAACCTAAATTTTGTGGATTGTCTTTGTTGTGCCTTTGTCTTGGCATTTTGTTACTATTTTTGAAGGTAGTGACTTGGCTACTGCACTGTTCAGACAGTGGTGACTGAAAACTATCTGCACTGTCCAGACAGTGCTGACTAAAAACCATCATCTGCACAGTCCAGATAATTTAATTATCATATCATATAAATGTATAGCTACATTCAAAATGGTTTGCATTCCTTGCTGCGATCCAGTGTCTTAATTGAGGTCTTAGTAGTTATTTTTGTATTAAGTGCGCAAAATGAGTTTTTTTAATGGTACCTGTGCTCCTGAGAGGGCACCATTAAAAAAACACTCATTTTGCCAAGCATTTTGCGCACTTAATACAAAAATAACAGACCTCGATTAAGACACTGAATCCCAGCAAGGAATGCAAGCCATTTTGAATGTAGCTATAAATTTATATGATAATGAAATTATCTGGACAGTGCAGATGATGGTTTTGAGTCGGCACTGTCTAGACAGAACTAATAGATTTCAGTCGGCACTGTCTGGGTAGTGCAGATAGTTTTCAGTCAGACATTGTATCTATTGGAATTAGTGGTCGTTTTACATTGTTTGCCAAAGACACAACAATCTTGTGCAGAGAAAAAGACACACACACACATTGATCAACAGGGTATCAGCGGATATAGGGCTGGTGAAACAATGGTCTGATTCTAACTCCCTGTCATTTAATGTTAGTAGAACCAGCATCCTCACATTTAAATGCACGATTCCAGAGTATCATTATTGAAAATAGACCAAATGCAAAGTTTCTGGGCCTACATATTGACACTATATTAAAGTTTTTAGAACACATATTACAGTTGTATAAAAAACTTTCATCTGCATGTTATGCTGTGAGAATTGTATCAAACAACTTGGGTCATTCCATGGCAAAAATGTGTACTGCTCCTTGATAGAGTCTTAATATCACGCATGGTATTCCCTTTTTGCGACGGGTATTTCACTGGCCACAATATATGTACAAATTTCGGTATAGTATTGCGGCAGTAATTTCTTAATAGCTCAAAATGCCTTGCAATAGAATGCAATACCTTGAGATAGTGCACTATACTTTGCAGTAATCTACAATAGTTCTCAATGTTCCACGATACTCTTGAAATTGTATGCAATACTCTCAAAATAGTCAGCAATACTCTCATAATAGTCTACAATATGCTCGCAATAGTTAACAACAATAATCTAAAATACTATCGCAAAAGCTTGCAATAGGTTTGCAATAGTTCTTCACTTTAATTTTTATAGTCTTGTCGATGAAAATCCTTGAGATTATCTCTATAGTTTAATTCTCTTATATTTGATAAGTTATTTGGAATATTTTTGCAGTAGCATGCTATATACAGTGTCATTACTTAAGTGTGCAACATATGGGATTTTTTTTTAGTAATAGCACAATCAAAATACAAACAAGGCCAAAACTTGGTGCATGTCTGATAATCATATTAGGTGCACATAGAATGTTTGCAAGTCAAACAGCATACAGGGTGGCTCAAAAAATATCAAAATTCTACTAATATTTACTTAAATAAAATAAAACTTTTGCATTTTAAGGAGAGTTTTTTTAATATGGCTATTATCATAAGTAATCTTTTAACTAGCTAAAAAAAAAAATTGCGACATTTTAAAGTTATGTTGAATATCATTGCAACAAACATGAATTTTGTGATTCCATAAAAAATTAAAAATCTAAGTTAATTTTACAAATATGCTTGAATTTGAACAAAGTTATGTAAAATTGATTTGATTTTAATTAATTTTTGAAAGTCTTAAGGGCGGAAATAAAAAAATGAAAAAAATATAGAATTTATAGATTTTTTTCAAAAAAAAATAAAAAAAATCTTAGGAGGCTATGTTTTGGTATTTAGGCATAACTTTTAATTCCAAACAACTTTTCTCTATAACATTTTGTTGAATTTTCTAAAATAAGGGTACTTTACAGTACCAGCTTTGATATTGTTTGAGCTACCCTGTATGCTGTTTGACTTGCAACCATTCTAAGTGCACCTAATATGATTATCAGACATGCACCAACTTTTGGCCTTGTTTGTATTTGGGTTGTGCTATTACTAAAAAAAATCCCCATATGTTGCACACTTAAAAAATCACACTGTATACTCCTGGACAAAATTATCGCACCACTGCACATAAGCATCACCATAAGCAGTGGTGCGATAATTTTGTCCAGGAGTATATTTAATTTTTGCATTGGGACACAAATGCACATGGCATGCCCATTCAACTATCTCCATACCAAATGCTATACATCAGCTCAACTCGTTGGGTATAAATTTGGGTTTAAGTTTGAATACGAATTTTATTTTTGTTGCAATTTATTCTAACTCTAACATACTAGTGTAGGAAAATAAAACAACTGTAGAATATAAAGGCAGGATTGTCTTTTCCTGTGGTTCTCTCCCTTCTTCCTGCGGTCCCTCTTTGGGGGTCTCCTGTTTGCATTACTGTTTTTCAGATGTTAGGAATAGACAATATCCAAGATTATACCCATAAACAAAAATTAACTCTGAACTTGACAACAATTTCAACATAGATGAACCCAACTCGACTGAATCATTTGAGGGAGGAAACTGATAATGACTTGGTGATGGCAGACAAAGAACCCTCGAAAGAACCAGAGGAGCTTAACTTTCTTAAAAATTATATGGACAGGGTAGCTTTTAATGTTAAAGGTTACAATGCTTAGGTAACAGATATGAACAATACATTTAAAAAACAGAAAGTCAAAGACAGTAAGAAAGTTAACTCTATGTTGTTTTCTTGCTGAAAAATTAGACAACTCTGATATTCACACAAGTGAAAATGAATTCGGAAATGGAAATTTCAGTAAAGACTTTAATGTAGAAGCTATAAATGATAAAGGAGGAAGACTATATATTTCAAATCAAATCAAATTTATTTGCTTAGTATAGTACAATATAGTTACAAGAAGACTTAAACTATTTTACTTATACTAGTTGAACATCTTACTATTTATACTACTAAGCTTTTAACCAGCACAATGGATTTCGAAAATTTGTGCATGCTGGTCATTAACTCAGAATCATTTATATATTCATATTTAGGCGATGCTACAAATAAAAATTTGTATAGAAAAAATTACTTTTATAGTTATTACAGTAGTAAATTTTATTCTAATGCTTCAATAAAGTTACAATAAGGTTATTAGCCAGAATCCACTCTTGAATTTCATTTTTTATTCTATTAAATGGCTTATTTTTAAGTGAGACAGGTGAAGTGTTATAGACTCTGGGGCCAGTATAGCTGATATGTTGCTGAGTTGCTGTGTGCCTGACAAAGGCCATTGATAGGTTGTGGTTTGCTGCATGTCTTGTGTTTAAGTTATGCAGCAGTTCATTTCTGTAGCACTGATTGTTGATCATGAATCTTAATGCAGATTTTATATATAATTGTTCTAGGCTCAAGAGTTTACTTTCCTGAAACAGCAGTTCTGTAGAAAATCTTTTATTTTTAAACATCATTACCTTAATTATATATTTTTGGGCTATACATAGCTTAGTCAACACTGTCTTTGGTGCATTGCCCCAGACAATTATTGCATAATTTATGATGGATTCAACCAATGAATAATAAACCGCTTTCAGCATTTTGAAAGGCAAGATGTTTCTAAGTTTTTGGGAATTTGTATATTAGTTTTCTAATTTTTTTTGTGACGTAGTCAACATGATTTTTCCAGCTTAAATTTTCATCAACAAAAATTCCCAAGTTCTTTATACATTTTACTCTCTCTATGACATTACTGCAACTAGATGTTCCACAGTTTTCGGTGTTACAGTCTGAGTCATGTATTTTCAGATGTTGAGTCACAGGCAATGATTTTTGGGTTAGAGCAAAGGTCACAAACTTAGTTTTTCCTACATTCAATGATAATAAACTATGGTCCCCTCCCCTCTAATGGCAAGATCCCATGACTCACCCTGAACTATGATAGCTGTATCATCAGCAAAGCAAACTACCGTCCCCTCATCAACAATTGACAAAATGCTATTTATGTAAACATTGAATAATAGTGGACCCAGCACAGTACCCTGAGGCACACCACAAACCATCAGAAGAGGCTCACTTACAGTGTCTCCTATTTTAACACATTGTGACTCAAGAAGTTTATACACTATGCCTCTAATGCCCATTTTGTTTAGCCTCTCAAGCAGTATGTGATGCGCCACAGCGTCAAACGCCTTTTTTAGGTCCAGAAAAATCCCAACAACCCTCCTGCCCCGTCAAGATCCCCCGAGATCAACTCAGTGACTCTACTCAAGGCGTTCTCTGTACTGGAGTTTTTTTTGAAGGCATATTGATTATTAGAGAGGAGGTTTTTGCATTCAAAGAAAAGCTGCAATTTGAGTTTAATGCATTTCTCTATTAGTTTACTGACGGTGCTTATCAAAGCAATAGGTCTATAGTTTGACCGTGATTCTCTGTTTCCCTGTTTGAATATTGGTATTATTATCG